CATGATATTCTCGAGGAAAGACCGTTGTTCGTCTCAAATTTTGTTCCCATTTGATATTGCATTTCATACGGAGTTAGGATAAAATTAAAAATATATATATTTTAAAATGATTTTTTTATATTTCTGGATATTTTAATATCAAAAAGATTTAAGATAAAAAATATTAATTTAATATATTTCTAAGTAAAAAATATTTTAAAAAATAATTTTTACATTTTTTTAAATTTTTAAACAAGATAATTCAGGTCGATTATCAATCAATCTGAAAAAAAATAATTTTTACATTTTTTTAAATTTCTAAACAAGATAATTCAGGTCGATTATCGATCAATCTGAAAAATAATATTATTTTTAAAAAATTAATTTTTTATAAAAGAATCACATTACATCTCACTCAAATTTTCACCTGATTGACGAGGTTACAACGCATCCACCCAGGTGGAATTTTGCTGTGATCGTTTCAAAAGGTCTCGGATCTAATCCAGCCCCAGCCCAGCAGTCCCTTGATGGTGGTGGTGGTGGTGATTGGACAAGCCCGGTCAGATGGGGCATATTAAACATGGGCTCTTCATGAGCAGGGGGCAAAAAAAAAAAAAACTGCGGGCTTGGCATGCAAGGGCTGCTGGTCTCTAAGCAAAGCAGCACTGTCGTTTTTTTCTTACCAATTTATCATGTTGCATCATAACTTTTGTTAATATAGCTACAAAACTTTAGTTGCACGAAAAATCATTTGTTTTTGGAAGTTCAAGATCTTGGCTGTGCTCCATCTAACTAAAATACCAGAGCTCGGGCATATGGTGATTGATGTTTCAAGTTTCATGCATATATTCTAAAATTCAAGATAAAGCAAGTACATAGTAGGTAGTTTAATAGTAAAATTTTGAAATCAAATAATTTGTTTTTTTTTTTAATTTTAGGTTTAAACTACGTGGTTGTTAACATTATAATTATCGAAGATTTACATTGTTATTAATTTTAGAGCTCATAATATTAGTTAAGATAACATCCATATTAATAAAACAAAATTAGAATAAAACATATAAAATATACAACCTAGAGTTACAAATGAGTCACAAAATTTAACCAAGTTTTTTTAAAGTCTAACTGCCCACTTGAACTATGGTCTATTATACTATCTCAATGCTCTATTAAAACCAAGATTATCAACTCGGACTCTTGGAAGTCCTGAGGCTCAACAAGCCAGCACGCCTAATAAGATAACATCTTAAAATAGAAGATTTGTTGAGATTCTACACAGATTTAACCTTGAATGAGCAGATATATCTTGGAGTCACCTACTACACCTAGATGCATTATCTGTAATCAACTTTGATACATTGCATTGAATGAAAACATGGCCATGTACTTTTTAGGAGAGTACTCTAGGAATTAGTCATGTTATTGTTATTGATAGCGCAGAGACAAAAACCAAAATTAATCCCACTTTTACAGTGACCTGTTATTATTCTAAGCCTTGCTCTCTGTATGAAAATTAGTGTATGGTATTGTAGTAAATATTATAGTTATAATTTAAAAAATTTATTTTATAAAAAATATTTTTAGTTGAAAATTGATTTGAAAAATAGGTGTTTAGTTTAAAATATAATTAAAATTGAGATTGAAGAAAAAATAATTTATTGTATTTGGTTAATAAAACTTTTAAAAATGGAATTATAAAATAATTTTAATATATATATATATATATTAATTAATGATTTTAAATTTAAATATTGTAGAATTAATTACACTAATTACATCATAAAATAAATAATATTTTATATAAAATATTTTTATTATTATATAAAATACTTTTTGTTATTATATCAAATTATTTATAATTCCATTACGTACAAAAATTATCTGATAAAAACTATAATTTTCATAATTTTTTAAGCGTATAATAAAATTAGATAAAATATTATCAGGTATAAAATTAATATTACAGTACGAGTGAATTTAATTCATTATATACTAGTTTTTCAAGAAAAAAAATATTGTTCATATCACACTACAAGTGAATTTAATTAACTTTAAATAGTTTTTTTTTTAAAAAAACTATTTAAAAAATTAACACATTAAAAAAAAATCACATAAACAATACAAATAAATTATATTATTCATTGTTTTTAAATAAATAGTGTAATTTTCTCTGCACTGTTTACATAAACAGTATATTAATATATACCGTTCATATTAATTATACTATTCAATTAATAATGGAAATGAAAAGTAAGAATTTCTTACTCTTTATTACCTGCATTTTCGGATAGAAAAAAACACGCGGGATTATAAACAGTAAATTATTATCTTTCATTACCAAATGGCTCTAAATTATATTTTAATTAAAACACAACTACACCTACATAAACAAACACCTATTTAGTGTTTGGAAATGCCAGCTAATTTATATTTTAAAAAATATTAATTTTTTATTAAAAAATATTTTAATATATATTTAAAAAATAAATAATTTAAAAAATAATTATAACTACACTATCAATCAACACGTTAAAAATAAATAATTTAAAAAATAATTATAACTATATGAATCAACACGTTAACACAGGCCACTGAAATTTCAGTAAAAACTATATTTAAACATTATTATTTCTGCGTGTGGTAAATCAAAAGCCCAGATACTGTTATGACAGGCCATTGAAATTTATTGGGCCAGGTTGATTCTTAAACACTACGCCGCATATTTTCATGGGGCCACCTTGCACGGTTTTTATCAATGAAGGAATATTTCTCAGTTTCTTATTTATTTCTTCGATTTCTTATTTAATTTTTTAATACATATGGTTTTCACCACGCAGTGATTTTTGGATACACATGTGCTTTCATGTCTGTTTGATTAGGGTTTCTCTTTGCATAATAAATTACTCAATGCGCTGTAATAGTTGAACACGATTGCCCGTCTGTTTGATGCTTCCTAGGGTTTTTGTTTTGTTTTTTTTTCTCAGAAGGAAATAAAAATTCCCATGTTCGCATGGAATAATATCAGGTTCTTAGACCTTATATTTACATTTATTTACCGATTTAATGGTCAGAAATTCATTGTGTGTAACTGAAGAAGGATGAGATTATGATTGTTTTTTAAAATATTTTTTTAATTTATATTAATGATATTTTTTAAATTATTTTTAAAATTGATATATTTAATTTTTAAAATTATTTTTAAAATTAATATATTTAATTAATTTAAAAACATCAAAAATATATTAATTTAAATAAAAAATTTAATTTTTTTCTAAAATATTTTTTAAACACGATATCAAACAGGCTGTAAGTCTTCCAACAAGAATGGTTACTTTTTTTTACATAAATATCACATAATCATGGTTTAAAAATGAGTTCATTGTAAAATAAATTTGGCTAATAATTTCTCCATATATCAGTATTTTTACATTCAATCATTTAATTAAAACCTGCATCAACTTTGGAGAACAATATTTTTTTTCTTAGTTTCTTTTTTTTAATTTCTAATATAATATTAATTTAGATTACTTCAAGTTAACTCATTTATAGTGTAAACTTCATAAAGTTGAAAATATCAAAAACAGTAGCCTGGTATTTCAATTAGGATCACTAATTAGGTCAAAATAGTCTGAATTGTGACTTCAAATAAAGTGGACAAGACTCCTGTGAAGGTGAGGGATTTTAATGGTGTTTGGTTAATTTAATTGAATTGAGACCTAATTAATAGGTTTCGTTGACTATGGCTGGATCTGGACTTATTTATTATCTCGCCTTAATTAAAAAGAAGAGTAGATTTATTTTCATAAGGATTATTATTAATAATTCACTTACAAGTACAAAGATTCAAATTAAAATTCCTTAATTCCATATAAAACTCTTTAATACTCGGAACATTGTATGCATAAGTTTTATAGCGACCGTAATGCCCGTAAAAAAAAAAAAACAATGTATTAAAAATACAAGCATAAAATAAAATAAATAAATTTCTGAGCTAAATTAATATCATTTACATTAGTTTTATATACAAATAACAATTCCATCAATTTCACGTATAAAATAAGTTTTGAAAAAAGGCAAAACAAATAGTTATAAAATACTTGGAATACTCTAAATTGAATTTAATTCGGATGTTTCAATGGGATTTTATGTTTGGAATTATTTAAAGTGTTAAAAATTAAATTACAAATAAAATTTAATATCTAAAAATACACAATACTAAAGAGAAAAAACTAATATTAAAATTAGTTTCTTCAAAACACTAATTTACTTTTTTTAATCATTTTCAAAAATAAAATGAAAATAATAAGAGTAGCATAGAAAACAAAATTAATTTAATTTAATCACGAGAGAGAATTTGTTACAAATAACCTCTACGTATCCCCTATAAAAAAAATATAAATGCACACAAATTTAATTGAAAATACATTAACAAAAATATATAATAAATTATAATAAATTTATATTATTTTAAAATAAAAAATATAAGAACATTGTGTCCATGTTTTGACTATGTCTGTCTCTTTTATATCTCAAACAATTTCGAACACGGAGTAGCTAACCAGCTTAATTATCTTTTATGATTTTGATAGCATGTTTGGAAATACAGTATGAATTATATTATAAATTATGTTTTTTTCGAACACTGAGTAGCTAACCAGCTTAATTATCTTTTATGATTTTAATAATATGTTTGGAAATGTAATCCAAATCATATTATAAATTGTGTTTTTTTAAAATTTAAAATTTTATTTTTATTAAAATTTAATATATTTAATATATTTTAATGTGTTGATATTAAAAATAATTTTTAAAAAATAAAAAATATTATTAATATATATTTTAATATAAAAAATTATTTAAAAAATAACTTTACAAATAAACTCTAAATAGAGCATGTAATTTAATAACCAATGGCCTCCCAACATGATGATAAAAATAGAAGGAAAAAAAATACAGTAAGAACCTGTAAAGGGTCACTTCAGTAATTACACTATCCTCGCCTCCTTTTGTGTCTCTTTGACAGCTTTGGAGAAAAATTAAAGACAACGTAAGCTGTGAACCAAGATGGATGCTTTAATTTGCCGGATTTGCCGCAAATAAATTCTTTCTTAAATTCAGAGTCCTTCGATAAATTAAAACTCCCTTTTTTTCTCCTGATCCAAGAATAATCTTATATACCTTGTTTTTTTTTTTTTTAATAAACAGAGACAGGTACAGAGAGAATAAGCTGAGAATTCTTGAATGCCAGGTCAGGTCTGTTTCCATTCAAGATCCATTGAGTTCTTGAGGTTGTTTTGATATGACAGGGTCTGTTTCCATTCAAGATCCATTGAGTTCCTGAGGTTGTTTTGATATGGTTTTGGATGTCAATTTAAGAACCCAGACGTTGAATTTTGAAGGATTTCTTTCTTTATTTGTAATTCTAGAGTTTTTATTAAATGCATTTGATTTCTATATATGGAATCAGATTCCATTTTTGTTAATGATCAAGAAAAAAATGTTATTTTTTGCTTTTAAATGCTATTTTACTGTTTGTTTATTCAAATGGCATAATGGGTTGTTATTTGTTGGTTCATTAAATGCTGTATCTATTCTATATGTCTTTCAGGTTGGTTGATTGTTGAAGGTTGAAGCTGAGAGCAATTTTTTGGCTAATCTGGAATCAAGATTCAATTTTTAGAAGTTTTTGGCATGTGGGTCATTGTCATACAGCGGAGACATCCAAATTTTAGTTTTAGATTAAGATATCTCATGTCAAACATGTCCACTTGAGAGCTTAGATGAAGTTCTTCTTCCATCTTTTTTTCTTGTCTGGTTTGTGGGTCATTTTCATGAGTGGATTTTAGTTAGTATATATCTTGAGTTTCACGATCTACGCAATTGATGTTTTATGAAAAGAGCTAGCTTAATGTGGAAAGCCATGGCCTTGGCTTCTTCACCGAAAGAGAGTAATCCCACAATGGCTGCGTTTCCACGGTCCCTTTCATCAATGGCAGCATCAATTGGAGGCCTTGCAGTATTCTTGGTTATTGCTTCTTTGCTTTTGGTTTCATACCCTATAGGTTCCACGGTTAGTGGATACTTTTATGGGATGGATAGCACCGGACAAGTAGATTTACCCATTTTTGAAGACAATCAAAGCTCCATTGATCGGGGCCATGATAATGATGTAGATGTGGTTGACAAGGATTCTTCATCTGGGTCTGACTTAAAAGTGCTCATTAGTTTAGGCGGTGTTAATAATAACAGTGTGAATGTCAGTGATAGTAAACCCGGGTCTGATTTGCAAGAATCCACTACTGGTGCAAGAAAAGAAGAAGAGTCCAGTTTCAAGGATGGTTCAGTTGCTTTAAGTTTCAAAGAGAATGATGTAGATAAAGGATCGGAAGAGAGAAGCTCAGATGCTGCTTCTGCAGATTCTAAATCAGGGGCTAAGTCAGATGTATCTGCTGTGCCTAGTAATGCATCCAAGACTGGTTCTGATGATCCAGGTACTTTTATCTTTTAATGGATTTACATCATTCTGGTTGTTGGATTGTCTTTGCATAGATGCTGGAGTTTCTGTACGGTAAATTGTTTTTCTGTTTGGGATTATTCAACTGCTTTGTGAAGTTTCCAGCTATCAATTTTATTGAATTCCAATTGTTGACTCGTTGGTGTTAAATGGGTTTCTCAAAGTAGTATGCTTTGCTGAAAAAAGAAATCCTTGAGGATCCTTTTTACTTGCACTAGCTATAAAACGGGAGAAAAAATGTGTAATTATTGTAAGACTGGAGAATTGTGTAATCTCTGTTATAGATGCATTTGACTGCATCGATTTTGTTGGTGCTTAATCAGAAAATTAGTGCTGTTCTATTTTTGTTGTTAGATGCTATGAGATACCAAGCTAGTATCTTCTGGTACTTATCCTCAGAAAAAAATGGTACTTCAAAGAATAAGAAACTTAATCTATCAAAAATAGCTACAGCTTATTGCCAGTGGCCGGGAGGCTTAATTTTGCTGGGCTCTTTGTGAGAAGCAACTGCCTGTAGAATTCCTGGCTACAAACCCAGGCAAAGAATGTGGAATGGATAAAGGAAGGTGAAGAGCTATTTCTGTTATGAAGTCATGATCCTATACATACCAAGAAAGTACAGTGCTAGGCTCTTTTAGGGATAAAAGAATCTTCTTTCTGCATGCCATGATCCTCTCAGATGGATCTGACCCACCTTATTCTTGTTGAAGTGTCTTCTCAAAGTCTACCGATAAATGTTTTGCACCTAAACTATGGGTTCTAATAACAAACCTTTAGTGGTCTAGTCCAGTTATGCATAAAGAACAAAACAGGAGAAATCAGGTTTGCTTTTACATTCTTTCTGAACACCTTGATAGTGTACGTTTAATGGATTTGCATGCAAGCACTACAGGGTCTTGACTGAATGGAAGAAATAGTATAGCTTTGTTTTCGCAAGCAGCAGAATGTTTATATTAAAGAGTTTCCTGAAAATTGTTAGTATAGAAATGTTTGGTTAATAAATTCATTCTTTTGCTTCCTCCCTATCTCTTCATTTTTTTGAGATTATAATTCCCTTACATTTTCTAACATGCAGGCTGTGATTTGTACCGTGGAAGTTGGTTTTACGATTCTCTAGGACCATTATACACAAACAACACATGCCCTGTCTTAACACAGATGCAGAACTGCCAGGGAAATGGAAGGCCAGACAAGGAATATGAGAATTGGCGGTGGAAACCTTCCCAGTGTAACCTCCCACGATTTGATGCCAAGAAGTTTCTGGAATTGATGAGAGGGAAAACAATAGCTTTCATTGGTGACTCTGTTGCTCGAAACCAGATGGAATCGATGCTGTGCCTTCTCTGGCAGGCAAGTATATCCACTCTCCATTGTGAATAGTGACCCTTACTGGGCTTTGGCAATTTTCTCTTGATAGCTAATCATATCTTGATTTTGGGAAATTTTATCTCTGTAAACTGATAATAATTACCAAATTGACACTCTAGTGAAATTTAGTGGTCTCACATGAAATGAAATGCTTGTTTATGATACAATTGTGATATTTAGTCTCACCTTTTTGGGGAGTTGTCCTTATGAAAAAAATCTCTGATGCATTTTCAGGTAGAGGCTCCCAAAAACCAAGGGAATAAAAAAATGCAACGATATTTCTTTAGGTCGACATCTACCATGGTTGTCCGGATATGGTCCTCTTGGCTTGTTCACCAAACATCAGAACCCATTGATTTTGCTCCAGAGGGTGTTGTTAAACTCCACCTTGATGCCCCGGATGAGCATTTCATGGAATTCATCCCCAGTTTTGATGTGATTGTCCTCTCTTCAGGTCACTGGTTTGCCAAGCAGTCAGTCTATGTCCTCAACAATGAAATTGTGGGAGGACAGTTGTGGTGGCCAGACAAGTCTCGTCCAATGAAGATTAACAATATTGAAGCATTTGGGATATCTGTTGAGACAATTCTCACATCTATTGCCACACATCCAAATTACACTGGGCTAACCATTCTGCGCTCCTATTCACCTGACCATTACGAGGGTGGGGCCTGGAACACTGGTGGATCATGCACCGGGAAGGAAAAGCCCCTTGCACCAGGTGAATTAGTGGAAAATAGCTTTACTGACATAATGCACAAGAAACAGATAGCAGGTTTTGATCGTGCAATTAAGAAGGCGACCGATAAATCAAAGTTGAAGTTGATGGATATCACCGAGGCCTTTGGCTATCGTCATGATGGACATCCAGGTCCATACCGAAGCCTTGACCCTAATAAACTCACAAAACGTGGTCCAGATGGAAAGCCACCTCCGCAGGATTGCTTACACTGGTGCATGCCGGGTCCAGTTGATACCTGGAACGAACTTGTGCTCGAAATCATTAGAAGAGAATTTTCGTCCAGCCAAAGCTCTTCAGTATGAGCTAGTTATGTTTTCATGTCTATGCCGCCTGCAGACGTGCACTTTTTGCAATGGTCACTAAGAAGCCTACACACCAATACTTTGTAATCGAAAAGGTAACTTATTCAAATGAGACTTAATTTATTGTAGAGTCAGGGTAACCTAGTCCTTTGGTTTTCATTTTTTTTATTTTGGGGTAAAAAAAATATTTTCGAGGTGTTATCCATTACTACAACTGACGGAGGATTGGCTTGGTAGTTGTTGCATGTTAAGGCCTCCATTCTTTTTTGAAAAATAAGCAAGATCACCTTAATCTACTTGTAGAGAAATTGAGAGCTATTTGTTTAACAGTGTCATGATAAATAAAATAAGTCAAATATCATTGTTTCTTATTCTAGTGTTTCATCATTTATTGTTGTTGAATCCCCAGTTTTTCTAGCTGGATTTCCCTGTCAGTGGTTGTTTAATATGCTTGCATGTGAAGGTAAAGAAGCTTACACACACACACTACTATTATTACTAAAAATCCAAGATGCGAAGCAATTTCAATGTGCAAAATATATTATTCACCGTTTTATATTTTACTGTGGATTTATTATTTAAAATTTTGCATTTTTCCTTCTTCAAGTTGGTCCTTAATTATTTTTGCATAATTGCATCTTTTTTAGATAAGTTCAAGGTCAATTGAATCAAATTTATTGACTAAAAACAAAATTGAAAGACAGGGAATGAAACTATAAAAAAACATCATAAATAAGTGATGATTTTGAAAGTTCACCCAAAACAAATTAATTTAGTCCTCACTATTTGATATGTTTAGTTTTTAATTTGAGAACGGAAAAAGAAAGGTTATTGAATTTTGGTGGTAGAGAGACAAAAATATTGTTGATGCTGATTTTAGTCATCAAAATTATTAATATTTGTGTTAAATAATTTTATTTAATTATAATTAGTTAAGTTCGCTTTTTTAACTTGAGAGTGCTTGAAAAAACAAATCTGAACTTGAAAATATTTTTTTAATTTAGGTTGATTTTGAGTTTAGGGATGATTATTTGAGTGTAAATAAGTTGAAAAATAAATTTTTTAGTTAAAAAAATAATAACCCTGATTTTATAACCACCATAATAACTAAAATTCAAATTAAGCAACATGTTGTTTATCTCTACAAGTGACACTTAATCTGTTTTATTTTTTTTAAAATAAAAATAAGAAAGACAACGATTCCAATAAAAAAAGAGCCTAGACTCATGGATGTTAACAAGATGGGTTAGGCATGCATGCTATGCTTACACATTTTTTCTTTTTTCTAGATTTTTTTTTCTATTATATATATATATATATA